AAGTGAACTATGCTTGCTCTGCCGGGGGAGGGGCATTCTGTCAGCAGGAGTATATGCACTAACGCCATCTGTTGGCGCTAGTGAATACTTTTTTCATTCAACAAATGAACGCAACGAATATTTATTTATTTAGTGTTTAGTGTCTTCAATTTGTTTATTTATTTTTTTATCAATTACTCATATATCCATTCATACATAGACGTATCCACGCATAAAATATAGCTGTACCAATGATACAGCCAACCAGGGTTTTTTCAATGATAATATTTGTGCTAATATAATATGGCAAAATTACATATGATGCTCAAATACTAGATTGTGTATATAATAAACAAGAGAAAGTCTAATTTTTCAGCCATCTTGCATATATATTGTTGCTGTTGGTCAGGGCTCAATTTAAGGAGTCTGGTAAATGCCCGAAACGTGTCAGACTCTCTCTACCCGAAAAATAAGGGGCGGCAAAACTGCAGCGGAAGAGCAGACAAGCTTCAAAGCCAAAGTCAAAATATTCTTTATTCAAATAGACTTCTTAAAAGTACTTGTGGACTGTCCAACATTTTTCTCCCCACCATTCGTTCAGGACATCTTTTGGCTGATAGGAAGAACGAGCAGCTCACCAGCTCTATTTTAGAGTTTCGTACTCAAACGGTAAAAACGGGACCTTATTACTAGACTTCGGCATTTAGTATCTATTTAATCGGGCCCTGCTCCCGTTATTCACTGATCGGAAAGCGATGAAACTGATGTAAGTAATGTCAGTCTAGTCCGAAAACTTCTGTTACAGATCAATTACGACGATTTTCTTCTAAAACAATAAATCTCCTCCCCCATAGTCGGAAATCATATCAGCCTCAAAAAATTGTTTCATTTTTTGCTCTGTTTTGGAATGGTAATATATAAATAAAAATTCGGGCAATTTAAACAGACAAAACTTCTGACTTTTATTTCCTAAATATCGAACAATGCGGTCCTTCGAGCCGGATAAAAGTGAGAAATTTGAACAGATTAATCTACATAATTTTTCCATGGCACAACTTCATGCTGGTCCTTCTATAATATGAACCTGCGACCTATAATTATTGTGGTTTAACTGTATATACCTGTGTGTTTTACGTCCGTTAAATCCCTATGCATACAACCTCTAAGGCGCTGATAACAACTCGTAGAAAATTATCAGAGGTAATTACTTATGCAAACATTTCGTCTCGTGATGGATATGTATACATACTTATCAGTCTTCGGTTACGTTAAAGAATAGTCATTACAACATAATGTTATTTAAAATAATACCAATCAAAGAGGAATAATAACGAGCACGAATGGTTCCGCATCATCACTACATAGTATAAAAAAAGTCGCTTTCTCTGTCCCTATATCCGTATGCTTAATTCTTTAAAACTACGCGGATTTTGATGTGGTTTTTTTTCATAGATAGGGTGATTCAAAAGGAAGGTTTTTATGCATAATACAAGACTTGCGCAAAGCCGCTGGCGGAAAGCTAGTTATCTTTAAACGACGAAAAGAAATCACTATTTTTATATGGGAACTTAATTTTTTATTCTGTTATTATATTGCCAACAGAAATACAAGTACGTCATCTGTGAAAATTAAAACTGTCTAGCTATCACGATTTATGAGATACAACCTGCACGCATAACGTTATGAACTCACGAAACTCTTTGTCTACACCCAAATGTCTTTTCTCGGGTACGCCCATACAATATCTTTCATTCTACACGAGAAAAGTGGCGTTTGGTGCACAGATAAAGCGTTTCCCGAGTTCAATAAGTTACGCGGGCTGATGACAGACAGACATCAGGGTTTTAGTAATAGGGTCCTGTTTTTTTACCTTTTGGATAAAAAACCCTAAAAATTTAAGCGACTCCATCCATACATAAATTAGAGGGTCAACTATATCTTACTTTTTATTGCACAGGAGAAAGCAAAAACCCAGTAAGGATAACATTTATATTTCATTCACTTTTCCTTTAGATTAACTTATTTTACTAATAAAATAGTTTTTATAGTTTGTGAGGGACGTCCTGGACAGTTTTTAACTGGGCTTTTAAAAACCCCGAGAAAGGCATTATTTTCAAAATTCGCGTGGGGCTTTTGCAGTTCTCGTGATATGATTCCTTAAGTCTACGCTGGAAAGCAAACACGTAGTACCTAACCTCTAAAACTAAAATGGATATTTAAAGAGAAAAATCTCAATATTTTTTTTAATATCTTATTTCCCTATAAATTGACTAAGGAATACCTTATTTGTTACCATGGACGTTTATAAGAATTATTTTTCGTAAAAAATAAAAGTTTTTCTGTTCTAAAGAACAATTTTGGTTTTACGGGTTACTACGTGTTTGCTTTCTAGTGTCGAAGTGTTTTTGCACTACGCGGCGGGATCAGGTGCGTAATGCGTCCTTATTTTAAACTGCTTTTGAAAATTAGGGTTGACATTCTACCATAACCCAAATGCAGCGGCTTCAGGTGTGAATAGAAGAATAAAACTAACATTAGCATGTATGAGATAGTTCTCAACCTACCTCAGAATATTTGAAGGATTACTCGAGACTTAAATCCTATCGCGGTAAACAACATCAATGAAACTCCACAAACAATCTGCGTAATGGAACATAACTTTCTGTTTACAAACTCATCATAAGGAAAAGTCAGTAATAACAACAGATAAACGTAAGTAAAGTGCGCGAGTGTACGGCGTAAAACGCGTTGTACGTAGTATAATTGGTCAACTATTTGACCTCACGTCCGACACTCACGAAAATGGCATTTCAAAATAATTACAATGCCAGAGTTCAGATCACAAACGGTTGTTAGTCCAAATTTTGTTCGTATGTACTTTATAATGATATTGTTAAATGAACCTCGAAGGAAGTCCGGATACTGATTTGATAGAATGATAAAAAAGCTATTATAAGCTTGTACACTTATATTACTTGTATATTAATTTATATATTATAGATAGGTCTATCTACTACCATACTATTGTCACCTTTACCTCCTCCCAATCTCTTTATTTTTCACCATGCCTTATCTGAAGAGATCACTGCTAAGAAATAAAGCCACCTTTTGGTGGCCAATTTAAAAGGATATTCTACCTGCATTACAAAAGTAATATTCTAATTTATTACGCCTTTAGGCGAACATACACGCAAGATTACAATAGGGATGATGACTAATTTTTGTTTGTTTGTCCGTCAGGTAGAGTGTTAAAAAATATTAAACACGTATTTTTTCATTTTTTTCGTAATCATAAAATTACGGCGTTACATTGAGTTGAAATTTCGCATGACGTCATGTTAAAGTACGTTTCCTACTCAACTGTGACGTAGCGAGCCCCCACTCCTCAACTTTAATGCCTGTTATCTATACTATTTCTTGTTAAATTGAAGTAAAAAAAAAATACGTATCTAATATTTTTCTATTATCTGACTGACAGACTAATAGAATTGCATTTTTTATACCCAATCATCCCTATTACCTAATCAGTAAGATATCACAATATAATTGGCAGAATTAAAAAAAGCGTCATTCAGTAGCGACATTCTGTTTGCAAAACAACGACGTTGGGAGCGTCCTAGACCGCCCCTAAAATGCCATAATAGGAAGCGCCCAGTGGTCACTCGATATGCTATCGCAACATCGGCATATCTCTTAAGTGCAACTCTGAATGCGACGGAAACGGGAATGTTGAACTAAAAACAGACACGAACCTTTACTACGCCCGGCATCTTTTCCACACCAACATAAACCAATAAAATAAAACAAAATTTTCAAGAAAAAATAAGGATGTATTCATCTTTTTATTTTACAGTCTTAATCAAAATAATATTCCCTACGCACCTCCCCCAAGACCGCTGACGAGACATTGGCATCTACTACACGACGGCAAAGGCCCTGTCGAGACATACCATGGGTACCATACACTTCGCGACTAGCCCACAGGAGGATCATAAACATCCTGAAGGGGGTTCCGTCACGGTAAAGGTCAGATCACACTGACAACACCATGGATAAACACACTATGGACCATGAGTCCAAAAGTGCGTGTGACATTAGCCAAATGGAGCCGTGCTTATTAAAAAAAATCGCCACAGTCTTCGTAACAGCGTCCTGTTATACCCCTCTAGAAGTAAACCTAAGCCGAAATGTATTTTATTACATTCCGTTTTCATATTTACATAAACAGTTTCTTATTCCCTCGTTGCAATAATACAAGAAGAGCTCTCACTTTATTTAACAAACAATCGTATTTATAATCAAACTAATTGTGCTTTTTACTATAAACTTCATTTAGAACATACACATTTTACAATGCAAACAAGAAATATTTCAATCTAATGAAATCGTGTCTAAGGCAAATTCAATTTTGCTGAAGTCAATCTAATACAAATCTTTGTTGGTTATAATTACACCGTGTGTCCAGCTTTAATATTCAACTACATGTCTTCAGTAGCTTATTCGTAGCATAGATTAGTTACCAAAGACAGAAAAAACCGAATAGGAACTTTGAAAATCTTTGAAAAATTAACAAAAACAAATAAATCGATATTTCTATACTTACTCATCTTCGTTAGATATTGCCTATATATATAGTATGATAATATCTATCGAAGATGGGTCTATATATTGCCGACAAAGTCACATACATACTACTTATGTAATATTATAACAAGTTTAAATAAATGGGATTCATTTTATCCATTTTTTTATTCTTTGACTAAAAAATAACGCCATTTTAAATCAACAAACTATTCTAAGGTTTAAAATGGCGTCATTCGATTGTTGCTAAGTTCGAGTTTTAATATTATTAACAAGAGATCTTCGTGATTAGTGAGAAAAATCATATTTTCATATTTAACATAACAAATATTTTTTTCAATTGAAATTAAGAGATTTATCGGTAATATTATATTACTTTTACGAGGTACTTTTTTATTTTATGAATTAAAATTATCATTTATTTATTTTTTCTTTTGTTTATCATAAAAAATATTATCTAAATCCTATGTAAACCTTACAAAAATAATTTCCTTCTTAAATCAATATGTACAATAGTCAGGCACAGCCTTGTAATTCAGGAGTCTTCATTTGACGAAAGCTTCTGGTGGTATTTTTCCTTCAGAATGCAGTTGATTAAAAATGAAGAGAGCTCTTTGAAGATCCCAACCGGTTTCTTGTAAGCAACTGAAAGAGTAAAAGTATTTTAAAACGATAACGACATAATTTTGGAGACCTGTATTTTTAACGGAAGGAGCATGTGTTTCTTTTAAAAATTTACCGATATTTAAAAAAAAAAATTGGATAATCGAGAAAATCAGATAATTGTCTTAGATATTTTCTAATTCTTGATGCGTTTTATCACTTAAAAAGTTATCATTTACATTTTATGAACTTTTTTTAGTCTTTTAAGCGCGATACTCTTTGCACTTTTGCCTAACGCTGCCTGCTACAGATGTAGAAAGCAAATACAGTTTTTTAACTTTTGTTGATATTACGAGGATATGGTAACCATGAGGTAAAGAATACTCACTTCATGCTCCAATGCTCGTTCATGCCAGTCTGCTGACACAGTAGACCGATCATCATCTTGTGCGAATCGTCGGCAGATGGCGTTGGCGTCGGCGTAGGCGCGGGAGCGGGAGGGGCTTCGGCGACGCCTGACCCGAACGCTTTCTCTTCCTAATGACAAATGAAGATTGATAATTTAAAATACTGTGCTTTATACAGGTATATACAGTAAAAGAGAATAAATCGTATAATCGTATAATTTTTTCTGGTAGTGTTTAATAATATAGTACGGAACCCTTACGGAACGGAGTAGCTCGGTGGCGTAGTGGATAAGCGCCGCGGCCCGCGATCGTTGTTTTTAAGCAACTTTCACAAGGATCGGTCACGGGATGGGTGACCAAAAAATTATTATCTCGAGCTACTCCGTGCTTCGGAAGGCACGTTAACCCGTCGGTCCCGGCTGCATTTGCAGTTGTTAATACCCTCCAATCCGCATTGGGCCAGCGTGGAGGGTCATGACCCATCCTACTTAACCATCCATAAGGTCTGATCCCCTGCAGTGGGGACGTAAAAGGGCTGATGATGATGATGAGTGTTTAATATACTAATACTTAAATTAATTATGAAAATACAAACATTTTATACATGTTGTCACGTGACCGCAAACAGCGCGTGACGTCACGCCCTTCTACTCGTATCAGAACTTAGAGAATTAAACCTTATGCATACATAGTACGATATTAGTTTTGAAGGGATGTAACGTCACAGCGACGCCGTGAGAGAAGATGGCGTTTGCGCAAGAAATTTTGAAATTTTAAATATATTTCTAGATTTTAATGTATTATATGAATGATGACATGAAATGTATATATATATATATAAAGTAAAAATGTTTTACGTAATTATAGTATAGCGCTAGCAACAGAAATCAATGTTGACATATATATTTACTACTTTGTGATCTTGTAACAAAAACTGTGGCATAAAGGGTTGTAGTTGAAGCACTATTAACTTTCCATTATTATGCTAACATTAACAGAATTGCGCTAACATTAGCAGAATTGCGCTACTGAATACTTCAGGCAGCTTAGCATTATTATCGACACTTGATGCGCAATAGTGTGCTACTGTCCCGCTCACATTTGAGCTGCGTGAGTGAGACAGCATCACGTGCTTTATCGAATTTTATAAATATCACGTGATATGCGTTCCTGTGTCATGGGCAGGTAGTATATTTCATTGGAATAGTATTTAAAGTACCAACTAATATGTCGCATGGTTTATCTTGATTTGGGCAGAGCGAAATTTGATTATGAGTCTTGTTGTAAAAACAATAAGGCTCAATATACGACGTTTTTCGAGAGTCCGTCTCACTCTCGGAGAAAGACACGCGTGGATCGTTCGATGCCTTGAATCACTCTGATTGGCCAGTATTTGATTCAAAAATAAAACCTTCTATGCAGATATGTTGATGAGCCAAATACAATGAAGTGACATCACACTATAGCGGATCGTGTGACGTGATAAGCAGACGAAAACATGCGGCTTTTAATCATAACATATTTCGATAATCAAAATTCTGATTTTGTATTTATTTCGATGAACATTTTTAGGTTTTTTTACAATTTCGTGATTTTTTTTTTTTAATAATTTCACAAAAAAAGTTGCGATCATAAATATACAACACATTACCGATGAAACGACTCCCAAACAAATAGTCGAGTAATTGACATAAAAATGTATATAAAAACTTAATTTCGAATACATTGTATTATTAATAACAACTCACTTGTTCCTTAGTAGTGTTGGTTATGTACAACATGTCGTTGATGATACTGAACCCGCCTGTCGTGTTGGGCACTATGACGAAAGTGCGATGGAACGAGCGTGTAGGGTTGCCATTAGTGTTGGTCTCCTTGAACACTCCATTCATCGTCAGAACTATCATGGCGGGCTGTGGACAATAGGGTATTGTACGACATTGAAAATATATAAAAAATTGCGATCACCTATAGGATAATAGCGTAATAACAAATATTTCACCTTATTTTAATCGAAAAAATGTATATTTTTTTTACATTTACCCGAGAGGAGAACGCCTTCTAAGTTGTTGCAACCCTGATGACGTCACATGCTAATATATAGCTTCCTGTTGATGATTTTAATCGAAATAATGTATATTTTTTTACATTTTACCCGAGAGGAGAACGCCTTCTAAGTGGTTGCAACCCTGATGACGTCACATGCTAATATATGGCTTCCTGTTGATGATTTTAATCGAAATAATGTATAATTTTTTTCATTTTACCCGAGATAAAAACGCTTTCTAAGTGGTTGCAACTCTGATGAAGTCATATGCTAACAAATATGGCTTCCTGTTGATGATTTTAGTATGATTGAGATTTCTTTATTTACTAGCGTGTGACGTCATACGTGGCGTAGTTAGTAGTAAATGCGGCGTATGAGAGACAGCGTTTGTCGCCCGGTTTCGGAAATATTAATTTTGATTTTAATTGATAAATACAGTAAATTTTCGCGAAATATTATTGTAATGTGCTTATTATATAAAAAAACATATTAAAAACTATTTTTCAAAATTAGTCAAATACCCTATATTCATATTCAGGACAGGACAGACTAAATAAAGCTTACCTAATGGCATAGTTATCAACGAACTCCAATGATACTGCGATTGTAGAGATTAAAGCTGGATTTACATTACAGTAGTTGCATGAAACTTGATTGCATTAATTGCGCTAAGAGTTCATGTCGTCCATTTTAGCAATTTATGCATTAATTTTACGACACTTAAGTTACGTGTGAAGCGCATACTTTCTATGAAAGTAGTTACACGCAAATATTTTCACCTCGATTGACAAAGCGAAACTACTATCACTATACCATAGTAAATGGGCATGAGTTCAATATATCAAAACGTATCTGAAAAGCGATATGAGTTATCTCTAACAGTCAGTTGCTCAGATGTCCATTAATGTTTAATGACGACTCTAAACTCTAATGAATGTTCCAAATTTTAATAGTATCGTTAATGTCGGTTTAAACTAACTAATGACAGTTTTAATGGACGTTTGTGCAACTTCGTGTAAGTTTACTACTACCTAAATACAACAGTATCGTCTCAAAATGTATTAGCTTGATATTCGAATATCATATTTTATTTTTTATTTTTTTCATGGTAGATCAACGGTTGCATAAATGAACTTACAGTATCGATACATAAATCAGATAACCAATTAAAGATCCACACAATATGCCCAAAACAGTTACGAACGCTTGAATCTGACAATATAACCTTTAATATCATTGTAGTAAAGTCTATTTCCAGGTGCTACCTAAGTAGTCAAGACACGAGATTCGCCCCATCTCTTTCTAATGTTAGCAAAGTTCCGAGGAGCAAAAGAGATGAAGCGAATATGATATCTATATTTTGACATATTGAAAAGTAGTCCACAACCATTCCTCGATATTGATATCTGAAAACGATTTTCAAAATTTGATATCGGCTATGTAACTGATATGGAAAAATAGTGAAGATGCCGATATCTCATAGTAAAACTTCAATGTTGACGCAGCTATTGTCTCGAAAAATACTGTTGATTGCAAGCCATCTCGAAAATACTTTTACCTGTGCCGAAATGACTTTCGTGGTAATTATTTTTAGTTTCGTGACACTTCCGTAATGTAAATCCATCTTAAAGCCTTCATCCACAGCGCTTAAATTCTAGCACGTATCTTGAGAACGGATTGTTGTATCAAACTGGCTACTTGCCAATTATAAAAATAAATTATGAAACATGTTGAAAACGATAACTTTTATTGAAAGAATAACCACGTAGAATTTTTTGTTTTAATACAAATTGTAAGTATATTTTATTTTTGAAAAATTAACTTGCAATTTATGGTCTGTGGATCACAAGAACCGAAGCACGGGCGGCCATGATCGAGCATCGAGTGACGTCACATTTCAATAAACTAAACGTCATTTACTAAACGTTTGATGCGAATGCAACCAGTACATATATTTATTGAAATGGTATTATACCAATAAAGTATTGTATGAAGAATTACTCACTAGTTGAACTACAAACTACTAATTGTACAAAAACAATATGAGTACTCACAGTAAATACGAGTAAATCAACAGCAAACCCCATTAAATCGTGCAAAGTTTTAGGGAATTCGGAGAGGAACGACACAACCTGAAGTCTCCCAGTCTTCATGTAGCGTCTTCTGTATTCCCTCTCAGTTATTCTTAGTATATTTCTGCTGTTGGATATGTAAGAATTGAGCCTAAAATAAAAAAGGATAAACGTTAATATTCATAAACATATTAATGGTGCCAATTCTGTTGTAGCAATGACTGAAATAAAATAATCTTATTTGATCAATTTAGCATTCGTAATGAAGCCTTTTTCCTCAAGAATATATTCCAATATAGCAATATTGGAATATATTCTTGAGGAAAAAGGCTTAAAATCCACTTTGGCGATCTCAGAGTACCTTTGGGCAAAGAGGATATTAAGATATTTAAGCATTTTTTACTAAGAAAAAAAAATAGTGTAGTTTAGTTTCTGGCATAGAACTGCTACCATTATTATGTGTAGCAGCATCCTGTCAGTGATCCTGCACGTTTTGAAGTGGTTTTCACTATTGGACATGAAATCTATTGAAGAACCTATCTCTTTTATTTTTATTTATCTAAAACACATATAAAAACTATTTCTGGTAATATAAAGTGACCACAAATAAACCCTGAACCTCATAACCATGTTATTATCTCGCAATTGCTGAAGATATGGTATTGAACGAAAAAAATATGATGCAACATTAAAAGTTGGTTTCAATAAACTTTACACTTTCATAACACTAACCTGGTGGCCGGCGAATTTCTGTTATCATTGCTCAAATAATTTGCAGCCATAGACATAGTGGCATGCTCATGGTAAGCTTCTAGCAAGGGCTGTCTCGAGTCAGAGTCGTAAATTGCAAAGTATTGCGTCAGAAATTCTCTAACAAGATCTTGGCCTGCTGGATCAACGAGGAAGGATTGTTGTCTTGGCGGGAGGGCCACGTCTTCTGATACGTCGAAACCGATGGCTGGTGGCAGCTCCACTCCATCCTGTTCACAGCGTGATTAATTAAAGAAACTTAATACACAAATGCCGTGGGTTAATTGTTTGATTTCATAATCTATCGGAGTCCCTTTCAAAAGTACATCGATTGTGATAACGATTTATGGATCCGCCCAAAGCAAATTGACAATGGCAGAAGAGAAAATGTCAAGTTATTTCGGTCGGGTAATGGTTCAAACCTGGTCTTAATTTTGTCCTCCTTTTATAATACTAGTGTAGAGTTAATGTTAAGGAAACTATTTTTGTGTATGGGAGAAAGTTTACCTTTGTAAGTATTTAAAAAAAACGAAAGCACTAAAAAGCACCTCCACTAGATGGCGACTCTAGCAAAAGTTGATTTTTGCAGGAAACGAATGGACCAGAGACAGTTATTTCCGTTTCTTTTAACTAACATATTATAAAACCGAAATTTGAAAAGTTCTAAACTTAGATATCAATACAAATACGAAAAAGTAAATAGAATAAGAATAAAATATGAGTTGTTTATATGAGTTGTTAATATGAGTTAGTTTTGAAAACTAATTTACTTATAAACATGAAAGAAAACCGGAAAGGTTGTCATAGAGAAATCAAGAACGTACCGTAGCGACATCTAGTTTGATTTCGGGAACAAATTTTTTTTTTTTTAAATACTTCCTTCCTCATTCGCATCGAGATTGTGTTCAAGTGTAAGCTTGGTTTAACTATGGGGACACTTTAAGTTAAAATTATAAACAGAATCTAATAATTTAACAAGTGTTTATATTTTTCAGCACTTACCAGTCGAACCAACTTCGGAAACTTCTTCCGGACATCACTGGAGACAACAAACAAGATAGCAACACAAGGAATATAATGCTGTTCTCTGAAACTTGTCCAAACATTAGTTTCAGTACAAAACAAAAACATATAAGCTTGGAAAAATATTGCAACTAATCGCAATACCATTACATGCACACTGGTTCCTACCATCGATATTTGTTTTTACTTTTTTTTTTCAATAAAAACTTGAATTAGCACAGAGACCTCTATGTAAATCATATAATATTGAATTCAACATGAATCATTAGCATTTTGATAAATCAAATCAAAATTATTGTTTGAATTTAAAAACTAGAGCTACCTACTACCCCCTGGTAGTAAGGCACGGCAAAGCATAAGTGTAAAAATAAATGCACATGATAATTAAACACTTCCTTTTCGAGATTTTTTCCAGATTCCGTCTCGCCATTTAATAGAAAATCCTGGGGATACCATGGTAGCCTAAGGATACGCAAGCTTGAGTGCACAATCCTTTGCCGTACTGTACCACCAATGGCAGTATCCCAATACTCACATATGATGTATTAAAAAATATGCTGCATTCAATACTATCATCCATTACAAAGAGATCTCAAAAATTTTAAGTACTAAGTTTTTCATATTAAGCAGTGTGTATGTAAAATCATTAATATTATACTTGACCTAATTGATAACTTGAATTATTTGATTTAAGTAAACCAAAAATAGTTTTTACTTGAAGGAGTTTTCAATACACAATCTATGTTAAAGGATACGATAGTTTTCCAAGCATTTGAAACTGCCAGTTAATACATATTCATACATTATGGTTTATTTATTATATTTTTAAAGTAATTGTATCATAGACACCACATACATACCATTCATTTAAAGAAATTACGTAATTTATTTAAATGAATGCAATCTATCATTACCATCAATATAGTACTAATCGTCAAAAAACATATATATCAAATATTAAGCTATTGTATCAAAGTTATTCCAATCAAAATACCAACAGTAAACAGAACTCATATGATAATTTAAAGAGTTACATGCAATAAACATATTTAGCATAAAAACTTTTTCTTAATAATTAGTTCTGGTTATTATTCAAGATTTTTTTATAACAGTTTACAGAGGCATGTTTTGTTCATTTGTAAGAAAGATAATTGCAACACAAATTAAGAGAAAAAGAAAAATATTCACAGTAAACTTTAAATGATAGAGATTATCTATACCATTTTTATTTGAAACACCATTATAATTTAATTTTAAAGATTTAAATATTTTCTTTGTGGTGACTATATCAAGCAATAATTAGTTCAGAGTAAAAAATGAAAAAGAAATCTTATAATATATACATATTGTGTTTAATAAAATTGTACATTATAATCAGTGGTCGGAATTAGGTAGAGTTATTCATGTACTTACACTGATTTCATACAGCAAAAGAATAAAGTGGATATGCCTCAAACCCGAGATTAATTTTAAAAAGTTATTTACTTTTACACAATTTAAACTACTGCACGCACGACGTTGCCAAACTTACATCAATTAAAGAAAGAAGAAATAAAGAAATGAAGAAATCCCAGGAAGGTCCACATTAATATCAACATTTCGATGCAAGTATATAAATAACTCTACCTAATTCCGACCTCTGATTATAATGCAATGTATCAATGTTAAATGTATTAATTTATAAGATTCATGATCCAACACCCATACCCATAGGATATACTAATATCCTACTAACATCTGACTGTATATCTCATTGGGTTGACACTTGAAATTTTCAGTGTATGTGGCACTCAGGCCCAAACCCCTTTATTTATATCAGGCTTGCAATTAGTCTGTGGGTTAGCTTTGAGGATTCCAATATTGTCTATGAACTAGAAATCTAACCTTCTGCATATTACAGAAGAGATGTCCATATTGATAATGTAATATTAGTTAAATCACAATCGTAGCTATTGTACTGACATTTCTTAAGAATTGTCAGAGCTAACCTACAAACAGAAACATTCTTTATTTTTATAACGATTACTTGTCATTAACAACAAAGACATTTCAATTTGGTCTTGTCTCAGCTTATAATAAGCAACAATAAGTTTAAGAAGTCCAAAGCCATGAGAGGCTATACAAGGTAAATATTACCTGACATATATTTCGTGATCACTAAACCTGTTCACCAATGGATTGCCTTTCAGATAAAGCTCCACAAGCTGCAATTGCTTCATTGGATCCAGTGATCCTAAGTATGGTATCTGAAATACCAATTAGAAACCAATAACAAAATTAAATTCTATTAGTTTGTATTTTCACTTTTCATTTTCTTCAAAACACAAGTATTTAAAAATGTATGCTATTTTATAATGTCTCCTCTACACGTAGACAGATTCATCTGCAGATGACGTCGGCAGACGCGTCCGCCGACGTATAGAGGGGGTGATTTGCTCGTCTGTGGTAGGTATTTGACGTCGGCCGATGCGTCCGGCACTTATCCGCGAGTTGTCGGTTTTTGTGGCACGGATCAAAGGGTTCCATGGCGAGCGATCGACGCAAGCAAATCGAGCGGTCTGTCCACACGTCTGAAGACGCATCAGTGTTCATCGGGAAGCGAATGAGATTGTACGCGTGATTATTACAGTTTTTTTTGCGTGTTAAAATGGCTAACATGAGCACTGAAGAAACTTTTAAATTTTTGGAGCTGTATCAAGCAGAAAACTGCCTGTGGAATCCAAACGGTCTCGATATCCATTTTGCCTGCATACATGTTGCGTCTGACGAGAACTAACACAGACTGATCGACCTTCAGACGTGTGGACGGTTTGTAGGGATTCATCTGCGGATGCGTCCGCCGATGTCCGCAGATGAATCTGTCTACGTGTAGAGGAGACATAAGATATTAGAAATAATTAACTGTTGTGAATTACATACCCTGTTATCACCCAAATACAAAATTTTCAAATTTTTGAATTTTGTAGACAATATCTTCAAATGTTCAATGCCATAGAGTTTGTTGTCGTTCAAGTTTAATGCTTCCAAGTCTGGAATATTCTCAGCAATAATGTCAATGGCAGCTAACATAATCATCGGACGGAACAAAGCACAGAATATGTCAGCAAGATCTATGAAAGAGAATATAGTTTTTCAACTATTCACATCAAGTCATAGGTAATATAATAATAATAACTTCTAAAGTATTATCTTACCGGGATCTGCATGGAATTTAGTTAAATCCAATGCTTTTGTTGAAGCGTTATATCTCTTAGCCATTGCTAATTTCATTTTTTCTTTCATTTCTGCATTAATTGCCACATTGGGAACAGCATTTCTTACTATCACAGCAAGCTTGTACCCGTCTGGCATAGAAATCTTTCTATCTGCATTAAATAGCTTCTCAGCTACTTTCACATCATCCACATAAAAAACTGCTGCATTCCCATTTAATTTATAATAATGAGGAATGAAAATCTCAGGTGATATGAAACTTAATAATGATCTCAAAATAACATCCTTCTCGTGTTTCGCTCCATAAGGTATAATGATTTGGTACCATGGCAATAGACCAGCAATAAACTTTTTCTTCGGTCTATCCATTCGAGGGCCTGGAGAGTTTAATCTCCCTCCACGGCCTCTGAAAAACTGAGGACCTTTTCTTTTCTGTGACTGACCTCCATTCGCTCCCATATCAATATCATCGTCCAATAATTGCAATTTTGCATCGTTCCAATTGCGAAATCTGTTTTTCCCACTTTGTTTGTTCAAAGCGCCTGGCTTGAAACTAACACGCCGCGTGTTCGTTGTTGGCACTCGATCATCATGTTCTGTAGTATAATCATTAATAAAATATGTAGACATTTCATTAATAAAATCAACACGCGTATTAGACTCCTAATTAAGAAGTGAAGTAATTAGTCATAAATGTGCTTACCAAAATGTTCACTATCTTTCCAGTTTCTAGACCTACCACCTCCACGTTTAGGCATATTTATTCAACACTGACACACTACACGTGGCTCAATATACGATAAAGAAATAGAAAATCGAATAACTTCTTTAACTATGTAAATAAAAACAGATTTTTTAGATACAGTCGCCCCTGTTCTTCACAAAAGAATTATAACCACACAAAATTAACGACAACCATGTATATAATATTTAAAAAAAAACGCCTTGAATTTACTTTTGTAAAAGTATTGCAATTAAGATTTACACAGTTTAATGCGTCGATCGATAACAACTATGCACAAAATAAATTAGCAGATGGACGACGAGGGCAAACGACAATGACAATTAAGACGCCATATATAAGTTCTTTATTTGTCTATGAATGGATGGACGCCTTAGTCACATCATCCGTTTTTTAACACAGCAACACCACTTAATATCTTGGTCCTAGAAACACACCAATATTGCCAATCACATTTAGAAATATTCTACCATGGATATTATACAATTTTGATTATACATTAAATACAAATGAACGATAATTCCCCGATACCGAGACACAAATATGAAAAGTTTACAGTAAGCTTCTTAATTCTAGTGGTTGCCCACACGGTCTTATCTCTAAAAATCTCTTCCAGAAAACCCAACAAATTAAAGGACACCTGACTGATAATGAATAGTGGTAGTGTGCCAATATTAATAAAAGAATTATAAAATATTTTACTATTACAAATATATTCACACTTCACTACACCACCAGCCCTTTTTCGTCCCCACTGCAGGGGCTCAGGCCTTCCTTATGGATGGTTAAGGAGGATAGGCCATGACCCTCCACGCTGGCCCAATGCGGATTGGAGGGTATTAACGACTGCAAATGCAGCCGAGACCAACGGCTTAACGTGCCTTCCGAAATAATATTTTGGTCACCCATCCCGTGACCGACCCTTGCGAAAGTTGCTTAACGACTACGATCGCGGGCCGCAGCGCTTATCCTCTACGCCATCGAGCTACTCCCAACAAATATATTAATAACAAATATATTACTATAATATATAATACAAACTACTTATATGCATTAAAATAAACTACTCCACATATACATAATTATATCTGTCTGTTCTTGTACAAGCTAAGATTAATCAAGCAGATATTCATGAAGTATATAAGAAAAATGAAGGATATCAGACGGCAGTTTATTCCACTGTCTGGCTACCTTAATAGCGACTCGTCGTACTAACCTGATCTAGTAAAAGTTATTTCCAGCACACCATCAGATTCCGAACGTCGAAAAATAATCGTCGTAATAACTCGATTGATACTAGCAACAAATTGCACGAAAATTGAAAGTAACTCGCGATCTATTATCATATATAATCAAAGCCAATGACATCTATTTTTATATTTTCGAGAAATATTTTCTAACTACATAAATATTTCACCGTTGTTAGATTGAATCTTTAATCTCAGTAGTGACAGTGCCATAATATTAAGCAAAATCATTGTTCGGTAAAGATTTTGCTGACGTTCGCGTCACCAAGTGAATACAAAACATAAGACGTGACAAAAAAAATCTACAGAAAAAAATGCTGCTGCAAAAATTATAGCGCCATAGCATCCGTAAAGCAAATACAAGAATAGCTCAAGAAGCAATGGAGACACCAGTTGGTTTTTAGTTAGAACGAACTGAAAGTGACAAAGCGAGTTGCGATGTGATTCGCTCAGAAACCGAACGCTCAACAAAGATACCTGCCCATATCAACTCATTAGTCATTACTTGCTTAGGGTGGAGATTTCGTACAAATCTAATTTTATGTTAGTAATATCATTAGCTAACATTAGATATGTTACTATTACCTATTCCTATTGTGTTTTGTGTACTATTACGTTCCATATTATCAACATTAAATCAGCTAATTACAACATTTACTACATCAATGGACTTCAATGGTGTAGTAAAACAAAAGCAGAAGATATAAACGAAGTGACGGCAAATCAAGCAAGACCCATTGGCAGCCACCGCTATATAAAGTTTGACGTGGCACAATCAATCTAGATCGTGATCCTGTCTGACCAAAATAACGGATCGCAATAAATTGAAATATCTTGATTAAACTGTTATAATGTGAGAAAACTAATACTACTCTTCTCAGTATGTAACCATCAGACGAATATGAACTCTTTGCTCTGGGTAATCGATTATGGGTTGTAAATAGATATTAGCTATGTTATCGATAGCAAAAATGTGATTGTAATAATAAATCAAATAATAAATTAGCAACAGAATAAGATATATTTAAGAAAATTTATACAAAAAGACGGATAGTAAATCAAAAACTATTTTTTTATTAGTGACAAAAGTCACATTCTAATAAAAAATATAAAAACAATTATCTAAAGGGGCTGACAAAGCTATTCGTCAAAATACTTGATTTTGAAGACTCGCTTGATGAGGTTGTGGATAGCACGTTGGATCTACGATGTGAAGGTTAAGCAATTTTGTCAAGAGTCAATAATCAGGTGTCTAATAAAAAAATATTATAACTTAATTCGAAAAGCATTTTTTTATCATTATCAAAATATATCTCTCAGTTCATGGACCGCATGTATTTCATATTTCTATCAATTCATGACATAAAACGGTGATGTCAAAATATATCGAAATAAAAATATTAGTTTTTTTTTAATATTGGTGCAATAATATAAGAAACAATTTTCAACTTTCAGAAAGAATTAAGGAAATTTTAAAAATACTACATTTTTTAAAAGATTTTATAGGTTTATAATTTGTTGAAGGCAGCTTTGGGTAAATTTGATGAAGACATATTATCCTTGTAATATTTTAATTCCATAAAAACTCTTCAATAACTGCCTCATAGCATTGAACATAATCAATCTTAGTCATCTGTTAGGGACATAATATAGTACACAAACATACACCTGTACACTCTATATTAGCAACATCTAATATTATATATTGACAACACCCGACCCGACAGAAAAACCCAATAATATTTTACCTGACCTAGAATATATTTGTGTTATAACACAACTCAATGAAATAAGTTTTACTTTATGTACCTATTTGTTTATTGCTAATCTGTACTAAAATGCAATGAGGAAATTTAAAAAAAAAAAAATAGTTCCCGAAATCAAATAAGATGTCGCTTGTGATTTCTCCATGACAACCTTTCCGGTTTTCTTTCAAGTTTAAAAGTAAATTAGTTTTCAAAACTCAAAAAACAACTCATATTCTATTTGTACTTTTTCGTATTTATATTGATATCTAAGTTTCGAACTTTTCAAATTTCAGTTTTTAATATGAACGGAAATAACTAACTTTGGTCCATTTGTTTCCTGCAAAATTCAACTTTTGCTAGAATCGCCATCTAGTGGAGATGTCATTGTTTGTTAAGCTTACACATCTTAATCAAATCCGGTTTAATTTATATTCTTTTTTTCACCGTTCCTATTTTGTCCGGGCGTGAAAAAATGTCATCATATCTTCTCTTTATTTTCACAAAATAAATTAATATTTTCACATATTTTCACAATTTACACTTTGACTTGACAGTTGTCAACAGTTGACAATTTATATTGCCATATAAATATCAACATCGATTTTTTTTTCATTGCCCTCAGATTCTGGTATGCCTATACATTTCTCATTCTATGTTCGTATTATTCTAGTCCACGATGTTGTAACATTGACTCAATAAATAGTAAAACCTTATAAACTACTACAATAATTATTTTCTGTATACAGGCAACACTTTTCATAGAGAATATTTTTAAGTGTTTCTATCCATGCAGCATAAGCGTCTTATAATGAAAGTTTTTTTAAACAATTATATATAAAAATATGGAGTGTAATAGTTACATTATAAAAATAGTGCTTAAATACTACACCATTTATCAATGTGTAATAAATGGATAAACAATTCCTGCCATAAAGTAAAAATTCACAGCGAATAACATAAAGTTAACTTGTAACGGAACGTTGCAGATAACATAGCATTTTATAAATAAAACGATCACAGACAAAGTTCGTGTGCTTTTTCGAGTCTGCCATGTTTTGTCCTATTTGTCGCGCTTGTTCGACGCGTTCGCGTATACTGTTTTAAAACTGTTATTTCATAAATGTATTACGGGCTGTGTTTTGTTTACAAATAGTTTAATTAAAGGTGTTGTTATAAATAATTGTATTACATTTTGTGATCAATCGATCCTTTTGCTACCTCTGTGTGCGACAATGTAATTCGTATTTCAACATTTTTAGAAAATGCTGGCTACAGCTAACTCCATTATTTCTGTATTCTAGGAATTTCCGTCGTGATTTCGAGACATTTCGCATCCACCACAGTGCTTTCTCAACATTGTGTAGTTTCTAGTTGTGACGCAACCCACGTGCACATATTACTGTGAAAATCTCGTGCACATTTGTTATTATTTTGTTCATAGAGTCAACTAAGGTGGGTATGGATTGAATGTTTATCAGTGTTACGCGTCCTATGCATCTATAGGTTTCGTCTCCCGAGACTCCCTATAGTATCGAAAAATTAGACTGATTTGTGGTGGGTGCAATTGAAGTTATTGTGCGGGATAGTGTCGGTGTCGTCGATCGCTGCAGTGCACACGTGACACAGACACGGGACTAGTGTTTGGGTGCCAGTCGGCTGCGGTCCGTGAGCGCACGGCACAGTCGATTTCGGAGCGCGCAACGGCTCTTGGAGGTGAATCACCGCTCGGCGTGTTGGTCGTGCTTGTTTACCCGCGAGTGCATAAGTGCGTGTAGCGGAAGTGTCCGAGGCATGTGCGCCGCGCTTTGGCGCCGATGACACCGCCGTCGGAGGCGACGGCGTTTTGATCGCGAGTGTGTGCTAGTTATGCTTTTTGGGTTATGAGTGTGTGACAAATTTGTAGTGTGAGGACACTGGAGCCCCTAGACGGAGTTGGGCCCGCCGGGGCGGCCCTGGTGCTTCTCGGGGCTCCTCACGAAGGCAAAATGGCTGCGTGGAATCGCCACCACCACTTCAACATGCTCATGGATGAGAATGCCAAAAATAAATGTAAGTATTTTATGGTTGTGTACTATGTTAACAACTGACATCAATAGTAATGTTCATATAGGATTGTTTTGGATTCAGTGTAAACATAGTTGGGGTGAAGAAACAAGTTTATAGCCCAAGGGAGGGGATGAAACTCATACATGCATGCATCAATTTAGAAAGTTTGGCTTAAAAAAAAATCTGTCTTATAGGTAACTTTTTTTATATCTTCCAGTGTCAAAGTGATGATTTATTGTCTTCCTTACAATATACTTATTGTTTATTAAATGATTCTGTATTCAACTATAGGGTCAAAACATTCTTA